AAAAAAAAAAAAAAAAAGCAGAAAAGTAGTCATAATTCCCAAGGCAAAAACAACCACTGATTGATTGTTCATAGGTATTCTTCCAAGTAACGTTTTCTTAGACATTTTCCCACCTTTAAGAGAATGGAATCGATACAACTTGGCCTTCTGGGTTTGGGTTTGTTTGGTTTTTTTCACTGAAGATATCTTACCTCTTGGCTAGTCTTCATTTCTTGAACATGATCAGACAAAAACTGCACACAGTTCTCCAGGTCGAAGTAGACAAACCAAAGCTGTGGGGAGAAGAAGCTGTGAACGCTGTGGCTCAAAGCCGGCCTAACCTGGAACTCTCCCTCCCTGGACAGTCCTATTTAGCCGGCTGTCTAGCTGGAACGTGCCATTTGGCTCCCTCCCAGAGTATCACACCATGACCATGTCTCATTTGTATGGCTGGTAGAAAAATGGCTTTGGGCACAAATTTAGAAAAGATCAAACCCAGGCCAGAAGTGGTGGCTCGCACTTGTAACCCCAGCACTTTGGGTTTCACTTGAGGCCAGGAGTTCAAGACTGGCCAACATGGTGAAACCCCTGTCTCTACAAAAAAATACAAAAAATTAGCTGGGTATGGTAATGGGTGCCTGTAATTCCTGTTACTCAGGAGCCTGAGGCACAAGAATCACTTGAATCTAGGAGGTGGACGTTGCAGTAAGCCAATGTCAAGTCACTGCACTCCAGCCTGGGTGACAGAGCAAGACTCTGTCTCAAAAAAGAAAAAGAAAAAAGAAAAAGTCCAACTCTGTTCCAAATGGCTGTGGTCCATTTCCCACAAGCCACTGAGCATCCCAGACAGACTCCGAACCCTCTTGGACATCACCTGTTCTACCTGAGGCCACCTTCATCCTCAATGGGCGGGGCATGAACATGCAAATGAGTAAAAGCCTTCAGAGCTGACACCTGCGGCCCACAACCAGGTCTGAGGTAATCAACCTGGGTGCTTGTGGGGAGGGAAGCAGGACGAGAAGTCTACACCCCACCTGCACCCCCCTTCCACCTCAGGGGCCAGCCAGGCTAAAGGCTGAATTCCTCCACATTCACCTTACCACATCCTGTCAAGACCACACCTGCCACACATCCTAATTGAAGTTCTTCGAGAAACTGGTGGCCCCTGCCCCAAACTCCCATCCACTGGCCACCTCCTCTGAATCCCAGACCTCCCTCCTCCCATGGACTGACCCATAGAAACCCAAAGTCATAGCCTTCTTGCCAACTAGTATCCCAACGTCTTACCCACAAAAGAGTATTTTTCAAATGATTCCTTTAAAGCTTCTTACTGTGAAAATTTCCAATCATGTACAAAAGTAGATGACAGTAACCCATCAACCTCCTGCAACTGTTAGGTCACCTCATAGCCACTCTTGGTTCATCTCCATCCTCACTTGGTACCTGTACCCAACACCCCCACCTCCACTACACCCACCAGTGAAGCCAAAGGACATCCCAGATAGTGTATCACATCATTCCAAGATACTATTTTGAAACTGAAAGAACCCAGCTGTCTAAAAAGATGTGTCCTTTATTTTTTCTTTTTCTTTTTTTTTGAGACAGGGTCTCACTCTGGCACCCAGGCTAGAATGCAGTGGTGCAATCGCAGCTCACTGCAGCCTTGACCTCCTGGACTCAGGTGATCCTCCCACCTCAGCCTCCCAAGTAGCTGGGACTACAGGCACGTGACACTATGCCCAGCCAGGTTTTGTACTCTTTGTAGAGACAGAGTTTTCCATGTTGCTCAGGCTGGTCTTGAACTCTTAGATTCAAGCAATCCACATGCCTCAGCCTCCCAAAGTGCTAGAATTACAGGCATGAGCCACCACGCCCAGCTGATGTGTCCGTTCTTTGGTCACCTATCCATCCATGCATTCAGCTAACTAACACATGCCAAGTCACTACTACGTGCCAATAGATAAAGGAGATTTGGAGGTAAATGAGGCTAAGAAGGACCTCCAAATTCCAGGAGTTCCCAGTCTACAATGTCACAGTTGAACTGCCAGGAATCTTGTGATGCCATCTGCTTCACCCCAATGTTAGGTAAGATCATCTTATACCTACACCATCTTGAGTGTGACAGGCTCCACAAACACAGGGACCTGTACATGTTCTCTGCTGCAGCTTCAATCCCTGGGACAGTGTCTGGTACATAATAGGCTCTCAATAAGCATTTGTGGGGTAACTGAGGCAGGTGCATGAGGAGCCTCTTCCCAAGTCCCCCATGCACACCTACCCCTTGGGCTCCCACCGGGCGAGGGGCATGACTGGTGAGAATGCAGATGTGGTGCTGAGGAGGTCTTGCAATTCCACCAGGCAGATCAGGCATGGATGGAGGAACAGGCAGAGTTCAGCCAGGTTCAGCAGATCTGGCCTGTGTTCCGACCCACCCTGCGACTCCATACTAGTCACTTTCAGATCTCCCCACAACCTTCGGGCAAAGAGAACGACCAAACCAGGCAGACAAGGCCTTCAGCGTCTGATCTGCCTCTCTGGCCTCATCTCTCCCCGTTGTGTCACTCTGACATAGCCCCAGCCATGGTGAGCTCCATGCAGCCCTTCAAAGGGACCCTGTGTACCTTGCCTCTCAGCCTTGTCAGGGGCTGTCCCTTTGCTATAAGGCTGGAGAGGCTACTATTGACTATCTCACTGTGTGCGTGTCATCCTCTGGCAGGACAGGGACCTTGCATGGGCCCCTCAGTGTTGTCAGTGTCGAACCGAGGGCACAGTGCAGAGGAGGCTCCATCTGTCTGCTGAGTAAATGCCAGGTGGCCAGCAAGGTTTGGATATTATCTGCGCTTCCCTTTCAGCCCTGCCACGTGGAGGTTCCAGGCCACTGGTTACTGCACAGAGAAGGTGTCTCGAGGAAGAAACACCGGGGCAGGGAGGAAGGAAAGGGCTGCCGATAGCCATTTATTCATTAGCAGACTAGTGCAGACACTGTGCAGGTTGACAGAACGTAAGGCCACTGCTCTCCATGTAGCCCAACATAAAACTGGGTCATGAGGAAGAGCTCACTATGAGACACAGTACCTGAATCACACTCTGGCATCCTTCCACTGTGTCTGTCACCCCCAGCAGCACCCTGTGTCTCAGGAGGGCTCCATTGGCAGCTGCCAGCCTCAGGTCTGTGTTGGTGTTGGCCTGTAAGACAAATGCCAGGCCCATGACCGGACCTCCATACTACTGGGGAGCTCCTGGGCTCTGAGCAGTAGAAACATACTGTCCAATGCCAAGGGACAATCCCCACCCTCAGGCTTCTTCCATTTCCCCCCTATTAAATGGGTTGGGATGGAGGCAGGCACAGTGACTCATGCCTGTAATCCCAGTGCTTTGGGAAACTAAGGCAGGAGAATTTCTTGAGGCCAGAGGTTTGAGCCCAGCCTGGACAATGTAGCGAGATGTCATCTCTATAAAAAATGGTTTAAAAATTAGCTAGGTGTGGGAGCGTGCACTGTAACCCCAACTACTTGGGAGAGTGAGGCAAGAGAATCACTTGAGCCCAGGAGTGTGAGGTTATAGTAAGCTATGATTGTACCACTGCACTCCAGCCTAGGTGACAGAGTGAGACTCTATCTCTTAAAAAGAAGGAAAGCAGGCCGGGTGCAGTGGCTCACGCCTGTAATCCCAGCACTTTGGGAGGCTGAGGCAGGCAGATCACAAGGACAGGAGATCGAGACCATCCTGGATAAGATGGTTAAACCCTGACTCTACTAAAAATACAAAAGTTAGCTGGGTGTGGTGTCGCATGCCTGTAGTCCCAGCTACTTGGAAGGCTCAGGAAGGAGAATCACTTGAACCGGAGAGGTGAAGGTTGCAGTGAGCCGAGATCACGCCACTGCACTCCATCCTGGCGACAGAGCAAAACTCAGTCTCAAAAAAAAAAAAAAAAAAATAAAAAAAAAAAAATGACAAAAGGGTTAATAAAGTAGAATGCAAAAAAAAAGTAAAGAAAAATAAAATGAGATGGGGACTGTTGGAACAGTAAATTCAATAGTGTCAGAAAGCCCTGGGATAAAGCCCAGCTCTGCTGCTTCCTGGCCATATGGCCCTGGACAAGGTATGTCCCTTCCCTGAAACTTATTTTCTTCAGTTGTAGAATAACAGAATGTCTCTGTCTCCTAGGAATGGAGTGAGATTTCGCTGAGATTGTGTGTGATGCACTTAACCCAGGGCCTGGGACTTTGGTCAAGGTGCATAAGATATTTGCGGAAGAGGGAAGATCAAATGGGTTCGATCTGTCTGAGCTGACACATCAAATCTGTTGTGTAAGTGAAGCACTCGCTCCATCTAGAAAGCACCTACTTTAAAGTACCTAACACAGCACTGGCCCCCTCTGGGAATCAGTATTCTGCTCCCCCACCCAAACCAATGGACGCCACACATTCAGCTGGGAAAGTGAATACTAAACAGGTGGGGGAGAAGAGGAGGAACAAGGGGACCCCAAATGCTGGTTTGAGAAAGTGAGCACAAGACTTTCAGACGCAGTTAGAAGAGAGCAGCCCAATCAAGGATAATAGTTCCCAAAAGGGGCAGCACCCCAAAGGGGTATTTTGGAAAGGCAAGAAGGACCCTTTGGTTGTCACAGGGATGGGATGGACAGTGCTGGCACTTAGTGGAAGAGGGCCGGGGGCTCCAAACCATGCCTTCCACTGAAAGACATGTCCTATTAGAAAGCATTCTGCATGTTGAAGACTGTCCCTGGGCTGTCTGGACTCCAAATGCCCCACTGAGCATACATGCAGGTAAAAAAATCTACTTAGAATTCTCTGGTCAGCCAACCTAACTCCAGTTTACATTTATACCTAAAGTGATTTTTTTTTTTTTTAAAGACCTAGTCTCACTCCATCACGGAGGTTGTAGTGCACTGGTACGATCACGGCTCACTGCAGCCTTGACCTCCTGGGCTCAGGAGATCTTCCTGAGGCCTTCCTCAGCCTCCCAAGCAGCTGGGACCACATATGCATTCCATCACACCGGGCTAACTTTTAAATATTTTGTAGAGATGGGGTCTCACTGTGTTGCCCAGGCTGGTCTCCAACTCCTGGGTTCAGGCAATTCTCCCACCTCAGCCTCCCAAAGTGCTGGGATTACAGGCATGAACCATCAAGCCCAGCCACGTAAAGTGATTGTTTGCATGAGTTTAACATACACTGAGTTTTCCAGGAATGCTTCTACTATGAAAATCAAGGAATAATTATATTTTGTTTTGCCTCGAACTGTAGTAAGGGCTGTTCTTCCTTCTAGAAATCCATATCCCAACAGCTCAATTCCTAAGTATATTTCTCACTGCCCATGTAACCTTGGGCAAATTACTAATCATCACTCGGCCTCCATCTATCTCCTCACCCCCAAATGGAGATAATAAAGCCCCCACCTCAGAGGGATATAATAAGGATGAAATGAGTTAATCCACGTAGAATAATTGAAAGAATTGAACACTTAACACATGTCAGCTGATAATATCATGGTGAGGATGACAGTGAATTGGAAGCACCATGTTTCACTGTGCCATATTAGCCACAAATATTTGTAGGAACTTGGAACTTCTCACGTACCCTAGCAATGTGCTATACTCTACAAGGCAGGGACTTGCCTGCCTTTACAAACCTTCCAATATATATTTTTTTAAGGCAGGGTCTCACTCTGTCACCCAGGCTGGAGTACAGTTGTACCATCACAACTCACTGCAGCCTTGAACTCCTAGGCTCAAGCAATCCTCCCACCTCGGCCTCCTAGGACTATGGGCATGTGCCACTGCATCCTGCTTTTATTTTTTTGTAGAGACAGGGTCTCACTATGTTTCCCAGCCTGGTCTCAAACTCCTGGGCTCAAGTGATCCTCCCACCTCAGCCTCCCAAATTCCTGGGATTGTAAGTGTGAGCCACCATGCCCGACCCAAACCTTTCAGTCCTGAGAAAGTGCACCAAAGGGAAAACAAGACAGTTATGCAGGACATTGAGGCTCTTAAGGACACCAAGTGACACAGAGTGGATGCTAACAGTCAAGAGTGACAATGGTCAGGAAGAGGGGATCTACACAGTCCTGAGTGACAAGGGATCCAGGGAGGAGGAGGTCCTGGAGCTGAGGGCCAAACGAAGACCTGAGAAGGGCTGTGTGGCCATAGACTGGTTACTTAACCTTTCTGAACCTCCACTTCCTCACTGGCAAACAGAGTCGATAACAGTTAATACTTATAGAGCATTTACTTTATACTAGGTACTATTATAAACACTTTGTGTGTCTAAGTCATTTCATTCTCACAACAACCCTATGAGGGAGCTACAGCTATTATCTCAATTTTAGATGAGGAAACTGAAGCCCTGATAGGTTAAGTAACTTACCCCAAGTTGCAGAGCTAGTAAATGGTGGAGGTATCCTGCCTCCGTATAGGGCTGTTGTTGGGCACAGACATGAAGCCCCAAGCTTACAGCGCACAATAGGTGCTCATTAAGTGATGGACATTACTAGGAAGGAACAAAGGAGTCTCCTAAATGAGCAGACAGTGATGATGGCATTGCCAGGATGCACCTGTGGCCTCCATGCTGTACCTTGCTCTTGCTCATTTTCTAGGATCTGTGCCTGGCACAGAGTAAGACTCTGTCATTCATAGATAGATAGATTGATAGATAGATAGATGCATACATAGATGAATGGGTGGATGGATGGATAGATAGATAGATGCATGGATGGACGGACAGACAGATAGATACATACATATATAGACGGATAGATAGATAGATAAATAGATAGATAGATAGATACATACATACATACATACATATAGATAGATAGATATTGTTGGAACAATAAATTCAATAATGTCACTCCTGGGCCAAAGACTAGCTCTGGTGTCTCCTGGCTGTGTGGCCCTGGACAAGGCATATCCTGGTACTCTCAAGGGCTTCATAAATACCAGCTGAATAAAAGGAGGAAAGAAGAGACAGAGACAGAGAGCCAAAGCAGGCCCTCCCTTTACCGTATGAATTATATCCACATCCTCGAAGCACCTGTCAGGTGCCAATTTTTTTGCTTGCTCCTGCTGAAACAAAACACTTTGCTTCATCCCCTTCCCAGGAGAAAGTTCTTGCTGCAGGAGTGGCCAGTCCAATTTATTTTTCATAGACCAAACACAAGGGCCATGAAAGCTTCAACAGACCCCAAGAGCAGAATTATTTTGTCAGTCCCGTGGCAAAGCCCAACAAAGATCCTTTCAGAATGAGTATACCATAAAGTTCCCATTTGTCTCCATGAACACAGGCGCTAAGTAGAACTCATGCCCCAAATGCTGATTTACATTTCCCAACATTTGCCCTCCCCGCTGAGTCACGCAAGAGCGGAGTGTTTGCTAAGGATCTCAGAGGCCAGCACTGCGCCAGCGATCAGGGGATCCGGAACAGGAGATTCCCAAGTAGGTGGAAAGACAGCATAGGTGTGGTAGCAGAAAAATGGTCCCCAAAGATGTCTAAGTCCTATTCCCCAGAACGCACGCGTATGTTGCTACATGGCAAAGGGAAATTAAAGCTGTCAATGAAATCAATGTTGTTACTCAGCTGCCCTTAAAAATAGATGATCTCAGATTATCCGGTTGGCCCAATGTAATCACAGGGGTCCTTAAAAGTAGAAGAGGGGCCAGGTACAGTGGCTCACACCTGTAATCCCAGCACTTTCAGAGGCCAAGGCAGGCGGATCATAAGGTCAGGAGATTGAGACCATCCTGGCTAACACAGTGAAACCCCGTCTCTACTAAAATTATAAAAATCAGCCAGGTGTGGAGGTGCATGCCTGTAGTCCCAGCTACTTGGGAGGCTGAGGCAGGAGAATCGCTTGAACCCAGGAGGTGGAGGTTGCAGTGAGCCGAAATCGCACTACCGCACTCCATCCTGGCCGACTGAGCGAGACTCCACCTAAAAAAAAAAAAAAAGTAGAATAGGAAGCCAAAAGAGTCAGAGAAGGAGATGTGAATAAGACTGGGTCCGCCATTGCTGGCTCTGAAGATGGAGAAAGGGGCCACGAGCCAAGGAATGCAGAGGACCACCAGAAGCTACAAAGGCAAGAAAGCAGATTCTCCCCCAGAGGCCTCAGAAGGAAGCAGCCCTGCCTGCACTCGACTTTTAGCCCAGTGAGAACTATGTCACATATCTAACCTACAGAACGGGAAGATAACAGTTTGGTATTGTTTTAAGCCACCAAGTTCATGGTAATTTATTACAGTAGCTATAGTAAACCAACAGTTTTCTTTTTTTTTCTTTTTTTTTTTTTTTGAGACAGAGTCTCACTCTGTCACCCAGGCTGGAGTACAGTGGCTCGATCTCAGCTCACTGCAACCTCTGCCTCGTGGTTTCAAGTGATTCTCCTGCCTCAGCCTTCTGAGTAGCTGGGATTACAGACATGCACCACCACACCTGGCTCATCTTTTTTTTGTATTTTTAGTAGAAACGGGGTTTCACCATGTTGGTCAGACTGGTCTTGAACTCCTAACCTCAGGATCCATCTGCCTCGGCCTCCCAAAGTGCTGGGATTACAGGCATGAGCCACTGCACCCGGCCAAACCAACAATTTTCTAAAGGGTGCTGGCTAAGAACGTGGCTTGGAATCTGAGGCCCTGGCCTTGATTTCCAACTCTGGCATTTATTCGTAGCATGGCTGGGGCTACTCTTTGAGCATTTCTGAGTCTAGTGTTCCTCGACTGCAAAATAAGCGTAAGAGCCTCTACCCAGATTTAATGTCAAGGGATTTAATGAGTTAATGTGTTAAACATTTAGCGGGGGACATATGATGTGCTCAATACATATCAAAAGGCAGACAATGAAGAGATGGAATACAACTAAAATCATACATAAGCTGGGAAGTATCTGCCTCCTTTCTGAACATGATCAGGAATCAGAGGGCTCAGGCTTTGAATCCTGGCTCTGTCACTAACATTGGGATTCAGGACAAGTAACCACTCACTTTGCCTCAAAGGTCACTGCTGGGATTAAAGACATGATTGTCAATAGAGCACGAGGCCAGCATCTGCCCATCACAGGAGGGAATAATGTAAATTGCTTCTTCCCAGACTTCAACTTCAGGCATGCTGTGCTACAGCTGGGGTTCAGTAACCAATTCTCCCTTGCCCACAGGGTTGTCCTGAGCACCCAGGAAGAGGAAGTGCATGAAAGGGTTCAGTTAACTAAAGTACTGTCAGGATACAGGCTATTAGAGCCCTCCTCCCACATTCTCAAAACACAGCTTGCTTCCAGAAAAACAGTCCACAGGGATCAGACAGGAAAAGCAGAGAGGATGTGATTTCTTTTAGTCACTGGGCTTACGGGCTAGTGTGAATTTTCATGGCTAGGGAAATTCTTTGAGGCAGGCAAAAGAGAAAAATCTGATTCTCATGCCTCCACCACCCTTCTGGAGGAAGCATGGCAGGGGTCTCCAGATGTCTCACCTTCTTCTGGTGTCTCTCAAAGACCAGCACAAGAGTCAAGGTCAGGCTCACTGCGGCCAGCGTCACGAGCAGCATGCCAGCCCAGTGGTTCCCCAAGGCAAACATTTGGCTGGTGGAGTAGATATTGGCCCACACCACCACGTAGAAAACCTGCAAGACGCCACAGAGAGAGCATGGTCAGGAACTCCAGTCCTCACATAAAGCAGCTCCATTCAAAGGGACACCCTTCAGACACTGCTGATACCCTCCTTGAATTCAGACAGCTCACAGCACCAGTAAGAGATTGATGCAGATCCCTGGGTCTGTGAGAATGAGCTCATTTTCACTGGTTATAAGCAAAATTAGACAAGAAGGATTAGTAGCTACTCCTAATCCTTGTTTACCTTAATTTTAAATAAAACAGAAAAAGGCAGGTGGACTGAAGTGAGACAAATTTCTGTTCAAAGACCACAATGATCCTTCAAATACTATACGGCTTTGGACAATTTATAACTCCTCTCAGTCTCAGTTCTTCATCTGTATAATGGGGATAATAACACCTATTTCACAGCATTATAATAAGGGTTAACAAGGTAACATAAGTAACAGCCCAGCACTTGCCAGGGAATGAATCAATGCTGGTTCCTACCCCTTCCCTTCTCCCTGGAAGTGGGACATGGAGTCAGGTGTGCTATTTGGCCATTTACACATACAAAGCAGCAAATCATAGTGGTTCCAAGCACAGATGCTGGAAACCAGACTACCTGGGTTCAAAACCTGCCTCTGTCATTTATGCATGTAAGTTTATATACAAATATGAAGAGGTATACGTATATTTATATATGTATATGTATGTGTATACACACATGTATATGCACACGTATATATGACTAGAGCTGAAATAGACCCATCTGTTGAGCAGATGGGGAAACCAAGTTCAGGAGAGGAGGAAAGTCTTGGCCAAGACCAGACATTGAGCCCAGGGCCTGGGTGGATCTGCAGACTCCCAATCCCAAGCTCTGTCCCACAGTAAACCCTGACCCTCATCCTTTATGCAAGGACCTGGTTACAACTCTCTCCCATAAATTTCCTCTGATCCCAAATCAATGTCCACATGTACTGTTCTTTTCCAGACACCTGGGCCACCAGCCGCCAAACTCCTGACCCATACCAACAGGCTGCAAGACACAATGCTGAACTTGGTAGTGCCACAAGGCACCAGGGCAGGGGCAGGGCATGGGCCACCTCCCCCTTACCACAGCAAAGGCCAGCCGCATAGGCCTTGAGTTGTAGATGATGTATCTTCTCACTTGGGGCTCCAAGAGGGCACTCTCTGCCAAGCTTCTGTACTGGTCGGCTGGGACCTGCTTGGAACCCAGGGAAAGAGATCAGTCAGCTACAGGAGAGCCAGTCCCCACTTCCTAGCAGATAGCAAGCATGCTGTTTCCAGTTCATGTGACTATCAAGTGGAAGGGGGATTAGGCACATTCTGGGCTGTCCCAAAAGGCAGAATGAGGAGCTTGGAGCACTGGGTGGAAGTCACACGGTGCAGCTCTCAGCTCAGGGAAGAACAACCATCACGACATCTGGAGAAGGATCCACACAGCCTCAGATTCAGTACCTCACAGCAGACACAGCATAGCCTGACAGTTAAGGCATAGGCCCTGGAGTCAGACAGCCCTGAGCCCAAACTCTGGGCCTGCCATTCACATGCTGTGTGACCTGGAGCAAGTAACCCTACTCCTCTGAGCCTCAGCTTTCTCCTCTGTAAAATAAGGATAAAAGTACCCACCTTGTAGAACTAAGGTACATATTAAATGAGATAATACATGTACAGTGCTGGGCAAAGGGCCAGTCTCTTAGTGAACACTCAATATACAGATGCCATTATCAATACTGCAATATCAGTATCTATTAATGCAGTCCAAAAGACTGAACAATCACATCTTCCTGCCCAAACAAAAATGTCTATAGAATATAAAGGCCCTGTGAGAGTAGTCCTAAGAAAACAGAACTTAACCATTAAAAGTTATGTTTAGGCCAGGCGCAGTGTCTCACACCTGTAATCCCAGCACTTTGGGAGGCTGAGGCAGGCAGATTATTTGAGCCTAGGAGTTCAAGACCAGCCTGGGCAACATAGCGAGACCCTGTCTCTTTTTATAAAAAAGAAAAAAAAATTATATTTAGGAACACAGTAGAACAATATGTAAACTGTTCATCCATTAAAAACAACGCAATCTGCCAGGCACAGTGGGTCACACCTGTCATCCTAGCACTCTGGGAGGCCAAGGCGGGTGAATCACTTGAGGTCAGGAGTTCGAGACCAAGCTGGCCAACACGGTGAAATCTCATCCCTATAAAAATACAAAAATTAGCCAGCTGTGGTACATGCTTGTAGTTCCAGCTACTAGGGAGACTGAGGCATGAGAATCACTTGAACCCAGGAGGCTGAGGCGGCAGTGAGCCCAGATTACACAACTACACTCCAGCCTGGGCAACAGAGCAACACTCTGTCTCAAAAAAAAATAATGGCCAGGTGTGGTGGCTCATGCTTATAATTCCAGCACTTTGAGAGCCTAAGACAGGTGGATCACAAGGTCAGGAGTTTGAGACCATCCTGGCCAACATGGTGAAACCCCATCTCTACTAAAAATACAAAAATTAGCTGGGTGTGGTGGCACGCTCCTATAAACCTGGCTACTCAGGAGGCTGAGGCAGGAGAATCGCTTAAACCTGGGAGGTGGAGGTTGCAGTGAGCAGA